GTATTTGATGTACATTGAATGGCAAATAGGATTTGTAGCTGCAAATAAAACTATGCACACTTAAATTTGCACGCAACCTATATTCTTTGGAAACCTGATTCAGACGCATTTCAGGCATGCTTAGATTTAAACTAACAAACACCAAACACCCGTGATTCAAAGACCTTTCTCAACCAACTTTTGGAAGAAAATAATTTTCAAACTTTAAATTAAGAATTTATACTTTGAACTTTGATTTATAACAAGGTTTTCGCCAACCTTTTCATGAACCTTCATTCCAATAATATAAATAGATTTAGTATTTGAATGCTTTGTATTGTAAACATTTTTAATTTCCCTAGTTAATTCAAATTGTTATTTGTAATTAAAATAATTGTTATTGTTTTATGATCAGTTGTAAAAAAATATTTTTTTACTGCATTTTGTTTCAGCGAATTCTACAAAAGTGTATAACTAACCATAACTATCTATAATATAAAAAAGAACTGCAAAACCTGCAGTTAATATAAAAATAACAATAATTAATTCTGTGTCCCAAAGTACGGCCAATATCACAGAAGAAACTTTGCAATTTATCCAGAACAAGTAAACAATAAACTTTACAGATAGCAAAACATAAAGAGGAAGTTGTCATGTGTACAGGAACTGTTTATCATGAAACTGTTAATCATGAAAAGTGTGAATTTGTGTGGTTTTGTTATCCTAAAAAATCTTATTGAACTCATTTCACACATATTAACGATAACAATAAATGATGTAATAGTGATACAAACAACAACGATACGATAATAATAATCTGAAACATATTATTTTTACCAAGTTCCACTAAACCCTCTCTTGTATATTACACCACTATTGTATTTGTAGTTGCTATATTTTTTAACCATCCTATTGAAGGTCATAACAAGATAATAGTGATTTTAACATGGATATTTGAGTTTATTTTTGTTCAGCCTTGTAAAGCTTTAAAGAAACCAGTTACACTATATCATTGGTACGATGTAAACACAAGATCTAAAATAAAATGATAAAACATTTTAAGTTTAGGTATTTGTGTGTTGAGGTGTCACACTTTTGTAACTTTTGATACTTTCACTGTTAATTAAAACCTTTTCTTTTCTGCTGTGAAATCAATGGAGAAAGTTTCACCGAGCAATCCTGCCCAAGTGTCTCCCGAGAAAATTTACTGTCTTTAAACAGGTTTACAAGTAATTAAAAACGTATAACAAGTATTAAAAAGGTTTAAATACCTGCTATTAAGCAATCCATTTAATTGCAGTTGCAACTAGTTTCGACTCCTATGTGGAGTCATCATCAGGCGGTACAAGGACTTCTTCTTTCTTCATATGAAGAGCGTCATATTTAACAAGTAAAAAAAAATAAACATTTACACACGACACAAAACACGTTACGGACACGAAACATTTACTGATCATTTACTGAACATTTACTGAAACAGTTACGACAACAGACGACGCTAACCCGACGGAGTTTAAGTCCAGACTTGCGGGTGGTCATTGCAGTGGTGTACGTCCGCTAATGATGAATTGTATTGGACGTACACCACTGCAATGACCACCCGCAAGTCTGGACTTAAACTCCGTCGGGTTAGCGTCGTCTGTTGTCGTAACTGATCAGTAAATGTTTCGTGTCCGTAACGTGTTTTGTGTCGTGTGTAAATGTTTTTTTTTTTTACTTGTTAAATATGACGCTCTTCATATGAAGAAAGAAGAGAAGAAGTCCTTGTACCGCCTGATGATGACTCAACATAGGAGTCGAAACTAGTTGCAACTGCAATTAAATGGATTGCTTAATAGCAGGTATTTAAACCTTTTTAATATTATTTGGCAATCCGGAGGCTACATCCACAATGAAGTTATAACAAGTAACTTTCAATAGTATTTTGGGGCTCCCATAAAGTTAGAAAATTCTATCTCCCGGTACAAATTGACAATCAATGTAGCCTATATAGTCTAGACTAGTCTCGGCTGGTAATCGATAACGGTCCACCGCCGCTCCCCCAATCAATTCATTTCTTTATGTTTGATATTATACATATTTTTTCTCTGTTCTATTTTGAAAATAGTTTTGTACAGAGCCATGCAAAAAATTTTTAATTTAATTAAAACTTTTTGCGCACAAATTGGATGTTAAAATCATTTGGGGGCATTTGCCCCCCCCCCTGATGGATCCTGGGCAAGAGAAAAAAATATGCTGTACTAGCCAATATACAAATATTTTCACCTGTCAAATCCTAAAAAGCACAGCAGACAAAAATCTGTATATTCTTGTACAGTAATTTGAATCAAAAATTATTATTGTTTTATTGTCTTAGATAGCACATTTTGAGTTTAGATAAATTAGTAGTTTTGTTATTCATTTACTTTTTCTGTTTGGTGCTGTACGATAAACCACTTAGGGTACTTCTAGTTTATATATATACATAAAAATTCAGATTTTTTAGAAGCATTGCTTTGTCATTTTACTTTTATGAATTATTCAAGCATTAAAATTATACATGTGTATAAATTTTACGTAATTTTTTTTTTGAACATTGTAGACTACCAATTTAATATAGTTAAATAGAACCTTTTGTGTCAAATTATTTTATTGGTGATAAAATTTGATTTACTTTTAAGTTCTTAAATACCTGTATTTTATTTAAAAACCAAAATAAACTGTTATAAACTATAGGCTATGAACAACCGCATTCATTGCTAAATGTTGTACAAGAAAAATTGGTCATGAATCTAATAACAAACATAATATTAATACATCATGGAACTATTGATCACGTTTCTTAGATGACTAACTTACCAACATAAAATTATTTTGTTTCTGTCTGTTGTCAATAATTCTTAGTATCATTAATTTTCTAACTAAATTTCAATAAATTTTACTTGTAATTTTTTTTTATTTGAAGTGCTTTTGACAATTATTAAAATAAGCTTAAACCCCTCTTTTTAGCGAATTTCCCTATAGGGAAGTAGCTATTACCGTAGGTCTCATGGTAAGACTTAGGCCCGGAACCGATTTACTTTTTCATTTTAATGTCCCCAGAGGCCAAAAACACCATTCGTTCAAATTTTTATATATGTATATATATATATTTATATATATATATATGTGTCCGTGAACACGATAACTTGATTAATTTTTATCCGATTTTGATGAAATTTGGTTTGAAGGTGTAAGGCGGGATAAACTTGAATGAGTTCGCGATCCAGCATGATCGGACTATGGGAACAGGGTTTTATGGGGGGTTTTAAGGGGTAAAAATTGGGTTTTCTCACTTCTTACCCTCAAAACACAAAATTTCCCAATTTTTCTCTAAACCTTCTTAAAGAGCTTAAAAAAACAAAAAATTCAGTATATCAAAGTGTTTTTGTACGGTTATTGGTTACGGAGAAAACTAAAAAAATGGTAAATTTAAAATTCCCATGTTATTCTTATGGAGAATATTGTAAAATGTTGTAGTTTGCTTCTTTATGGATATATTTTGATCAAACTTGGCAAATTTATTTATTTTATAGTAAGCTATCAATATTTTACTAAAAACACACTACTTTATTAGTTTCCTTGTAGCAGCAAACCTAGGTACTCGTTAAACCTAATGTTATTTAAATAGATCAATTGAAAATCAATTCGGCCAAATGGAAATTCACTTAGACGGCAGGTTTGCTGCGGCGGGGGTATTTTGTTTCAAAACTGCACAATTTTCCGGGGGAGGACCCCCGGACCCCACTTGTTTGCTGGGGGGTATTCCATTCCCCCCATACCCCCTGGTGTTTGCCCCCACCCCCCAAGGATTTGGTGAAATAACGCCACTGGTTAAAATGGTGTTACGTCGTCTATTGCAGTGCTACAGTGCAGTGGTCCTGAAGTTCCTGTTGGCTGAATACCTACTGTGGCTGTTTAAGTACTATGTCCTCAGCCTGGGATGGAATTGCAGCTGTGACAGGTACGTGTATATTACGAATTTAATTTGGTGTAATTACGAATTTACATTCTACCACAGCTGCTGGTTAAGGGTAAGGTAGGTTGGTTCCCTAAAATTCCCTAACATCTCCAGGAAATATTTCAGTGAAAATCAAATCTGGCAAATGGAAATGTGCTTAGTCTGCAGGTTTGCTGCAATTGGGGTATTACTTACATGTGATGTGTTTATACACTGTACTCTGAAGAAATGCTATGTGTTACAAATATTTACTCATTCTTAGTCCAAGAATAAAAAATATTCATACAATTAAATGGAAATGTAATAATAACATTGTATTTGTACTCGTTTATTCAGCTGTAAAGGGAAAAAGTAACAAAACTGCAAAGCTTAAAATATTAGATGTTTGTTATATTTAGTATTTTAATTCAATCAAAGTTTAATTTGTATGATAATCATCAAAGTTTGATCTCTAGAGTTAGGCTGTACCTAGTATCTAGAGCTGTCTAAACAGGCAGATTCAATTAGTGTTTGGTTTATATTCAACAGACGTTCAAGGGGCAACAAGATACTCCAGTAATAATAAATGAGAAACATGCTATCTCGTGCTTTATGTCTATCACAATGTTTCAAGATGCAGGAAATGGTAGAATTTCTATTGTAATACTGTAAATACAAATATAAGGTGATGAGAATATAGGACCTAAAATACTACAATAATCTTTGAAATAGTGTTTGTAAAGTACTTACACTACGATAAAAAGTTCTGGTACTCTTTTATAATAGTACTGGTACTATTAGTACTGGTAATGGTACTGGTTTTTTTAGTAGTAGTGGTACTCTTTTTATAAGCTTTAAGGTATTAAATAAAACATTTTTGTTTTTTTGTATGATAAAAATACATTATTAAAGAAACCTTTTACTCTGATATAATATCAAATTAAGAGGTACTGTAGCTGTCGCCATGGGGGTCCTTGAAAGGAACCTTAACTAAAAAAAATAGGAAAATCTCTTACAATTCAAATATATTTCATTAATAAATAATTATAGTTTAAAATTAAATAGTACATACCTATAAATAACAACAAAATAAAGTAGCATGACTTTAGATGAGTAATTAAGTAGAAGCTTTTTCTTTCTCGTACTCAAATGAAATTTTCTCTTGTATTTTCTCTTCATCTAGATCAACCTGAAAAAAGCATCAGCTCATATTAAGTAGCAGTAATCCTACATTTGCCTAACACATTTGCCATTAACATAAAACATTTGCCTTTAAAGTAAAATTACCAATATAACTAAACAAAACAATATTGTCAAAAACATTTTGTCTGGAGTGAAAGCGAATTCAAAATATGGTTGACCCAATATTGCACTCTCTTACTCAATCTGACATTGAGATCTTGCTGCTGAAAATAAGCAAGTTTTAGGCTATCAGCATCTATGAAGGCATCACTCCAGTTAAATAACTCAAAGACAGGTTTGCCAGCATACCTACTTGGAATTACAGGAAATTGGAGACGTAGCCTTCATAGTGCGGCCAATATCGAGAGTGAATAGGGTATGAAAGTTTCTGCTTGGAAAGTAAGCCACCCTTTTATCAAAATCCCTTCACAGAACGGAAGGAAAATAATTGAGGGTGTTGCTGTTTACGTCCAAAGCAGAAAACACAGACATTGAAAAAGATAGATTTTTGTATTATCTCCCAAATGTGTAACCAGTTTGATGTGAAGTGCTAGAAGCAAGGAGTTAGAAGCCCTTTCCACCTTCAATTGGTATTTAAAGCTGGATTTGAATGAAGGGTGAGTATATGTGAAGGGAGTGTGATCATTGTAGCCTTGTTACTGACTAAGACCAGCTCTTTCTTAAGCCAGAACTATTTATTAAAAGCTCTATGATCAAGGGCTACAAAGCCCAGGTTAGAATAATAGCAAATTGGCATAATAAGTCAACAATCTTATTTGTGCAGATTCTGTACACCCGATCATCAGAATCCTGACTCCAGTTTCCTTCTCAATAATACTAATGCGCTACCGCTACACATTAGGCTACATTATCTCATCATTGGTAAGTGAGATGGATACATAAATTTGATTTTCTCATACCTGGTCCTTAAACTGAAGGAACTTCTCGTTGGTTTCAGTTTTGTCAAATGCCTCGAGATAGCGTTTGCGATGCAGCAGCACTGTGTCCACATGAGTCTTGTGTTTGACAGCCAGCTCTAGAGCTCTGTGTAGCAAATAATCATCGGAACATTAGAACAACCTGGATTTCCTCAGGTGACTGACTGCATGGTTACTCTAACACCAATAATGGTAATCCAAACCAATAATAATATTAACTAATGCACCTGTTGCTCGAATTCGAGCAATTGCAAAATATTAAAGACGTTATTTCAAAACCAGTAACAGTCATAATTTTTCGATGAATTAAATAAGTCTACTAAAAGATAATGTTATCAATCCCTCCACTCTAGTAATCGAAACTGAAAACGAACTCACTATGAAAACAAATGCTCACTCTACTCCAGTTATTGAAACTAAAAACTAACTCACTCTGAAAACGAACGCTCTTGTGTGTATTATGAACAGCTGCAATTAATGCAAATTATTCGTCTAAACAAAATCTTTCCTTCATAAGAAATACATTGGGATTTTGATGGCCTGTGGGGCAAAGCCCGAGGACTTTTATTACAGGAATTGTTGAAAGGGCGGTCTACACAACAAATACTTAATTATGACACCTCATTTGAAAAAATCCGTCCACTAATAACGGAGGAGTTTCGTACAAATCGCCTTCACGTATTATATATAAGGATGGTGATCCTAAGTACAATGGATGAAAAATACACAAGACCTCAACCTTCCCTCGGATACTACATTTTTATGATTCTGGAGTGTTACCTTTATAAATAAGCTTGAGTTGATAAAAGAGCATTATTTAACTATACTTTTGAATCCAGAGTTGGCCCATAAGAGCCCTAGCAAAATGTATTTTAGAGATCAATAATGATGAGTTATCAAAATTACTGTATGCTCGCAGCTCTACAATGTAGCCAACTGTGACTACAAGCTCAGTAGGATCACTTGCCTTGACCAGTTGTGAGTATGTAGGTTGACCATGATGGCTCTGAACACAAGCCCGTTCTGCAGTAGGATACTTTCAGCATCAGCCACATTTCCTCCCAACAGAGCCATCTCTGCTAGCTGAGCCCCTCGCACTGGCAAGCTCTACACCAGACAACAAGTGGTAAACAATTGTGGTTGGTTCGTGGTTTTGGGATAAAACTGTAAAAAAATGTTATTTACACTCCTTTTAGGTGTAAATTACTTTAAAAAAAAAGTGTTAATTCGCAACTTGTAATCTATTGAATATTTCATTTAGACTTAAGTATTGTTGTAGTTCCTTATTTTTTTTTTTTTTTTTTTTTTTTTTTTATGAGTTTAAGTTTGGGACTTTACATGAGCAAGTAACATTTTTTATAAAAGTTTAGGAATCCTCATGTTTATATTGAACAAGTATTCATTTAAACAAGATTCCCGTACGTAGAACGGGCAAACAGCTAGTGTGAAATACAATTTAAAATGAACAGCTGTTTTATTAAAAAGTATTATTCACATGGCCAAAATGTAAACAACTCTGTGGAGGGATCTTTAAAGGCTTCTGGGGCAGAGTCCTAAGGGATTTTGCTTAGTTTTTCTTTTGATAACTCATGTTCAGACCAAGACCTTTCTTTGGACACCTCTACTAAGTTTCTACGCCCAGCCGTTCTCTCAAATTAGTGGGGACAAAGTTTCCAATTAAATATTTAAATTCCCCCATGTTAATCTTAAGGGAGAAAATCCAACTTTGATGGCCTGTGGGGCAAAGCCCGAGGATTTTTATTACAGGAATTGGTGAAAGGTGGCATCTACACAAAAAATACTTAATTTTGACACGTCGTTTGTAAAAATCTGTCCATTATTAACGGAGGAGTAGTGTTTTGTAGAAATCGCCTTCACGTATTATATATAAGGATATCAGCCTCTCATCCTTTCCCAGCTGTATTCCAACATATAAAACATTAAGGTTGTTATGTAAGTTAATAGAATTCTTAAGTACCTTAAATAATATTCTTATGTTCATAGGTAACTTGGATGTTGTATCTTGTTTTTCTTGTATGTCGTTTATTTTTTGTTAAAGTTTAGGTGGATTGTAAGCCACTAGATTTGCAATGATGTACAAAATTCAACCTCGCTATCCGTCAAAATATTCAGGTTAAAGTGTCTACTTTTAATTAAATTCATTAAAACATTTTCATTAAATCCCCCGAACTACTAACATAGCAGCCAAAGCATGTCCAAAATATAATTACAAACACTCATTCTAAGGCTAGATTATTGTCTCAAATCTTTTGAAACCCCAACCATCCACGGATGTTGGAGACTCTACCTTGATGTGTTGTATGAAGACAACCTTGTCCACCTGGTTGATAGCTGCGTAGGCTTCCTCGGCAGTGTCCAGGTCTCTGGCGTGTGCCGCCATGGCTGCCAGGCAAGCCCACACTGTCTCATCCTAGATTTTATCAGAAAGAACATCTAGGTCAGCGCCTTATCTTGAAAACATCTATCCTATTAAATATCCATGTATTGAACCGCGCCCCCGTACCTGCACCCAGGCGAACGACTTGGAAGCCTGACTCAACAACAAGCGGAGTCAACAACAAATGTTATGTTTTATTTAGATTTTCTTTAGAATTCACTCTTGAATGGCAACCATTCCCCCTCTCTCTCTCTCTCTCTCTTATTTTTTTTTTCGGGTTCATTGGTGAGCAGCCGGTCCATTAGTTAGAACGTGAGACTTAATCGAGGAAGCATGGGTTCAATGTATTAATAATTCTTTAGGACATCTTGATGTAAATTTTAAGCTGAATATAAATTCGGGGAGAGTGACATTGGAGTGAGATGCTCTATGTAGATTACTAGTTTTATTACTAACTTGAAACAGCTGTTGCATAAACCAGGGGACCATGTATTGTATTAGAAGTTCGATGACCAAGTACAGCTATGGGTGAAGTTTCAAAGCAACAAATCTTGACCATCACCTATGTGATAATGCTGTAGCCCAGTAGTTTAGAGCCTTCTCAAGCTGTTCACATATCAACTCAATAAAAAAGTAGGTATCGTAGGCAAGAATAACTTGCTCAGTAATGGATAACTTCTCCCATTGAAATCCAAACAAATACTCTGTATTAAAATGTATTGATACAAACACTGCATTAGTGATTGAAATACCCCTCAACAAAACAAGTCAAATAAAAAATGATGCACACAATAATTTTCCAATTGCTAGCTGATATATTATACTGTTCGGGATTTATAGCACCTTTCAAACATAAATAAATAGTAAAATAATTTTTATTTGACGTACCCCAAGTGATCGGCATAGTCGTAGAGCGTCTCTCCACATCCGCTCTTCTGCGTAGTCATGCAACACGGAGACGTGGGGAGAGATGATGCTGCTTACCAATGCTCCATCCGACCTCCGCACTCCTACGTGGTTACCCTCAAAACTCACCACCATTGGACTCTTGCCAAACTCACTGTAAACCAAGAGGTTAGGTCCTAACTAGTATCCAGGCTTTGTGAAAAACAGATTCAGAGAGTAATGATAGTGCAGCTTCCAGGGCCATATTTCCCTAACGGCACGGTTGCTGGGGCCTCTGCCTGGGAGGGAGCCTCTGGGCTTAAAAGGGATTTTTTCTTGAGAAATTAATTTTACCAATAATCTATTAGGGGATTCGATTTTTGAGTTGATTGAGGCTCCATTTTAGCAATCCACCAAAAGAGTTTGAGAAGATTGTCCATTTGAAAATCAAGATTTTTTCAGGATTCTTGCAGGAAGTCTCAATGATTGCAATAGACATTCACAATCTTTTTGATTGTGGAAGATGTCAACGATTTTGATTCGACCTCAGGGGACGCTCACTATTTGTTGTAACTGAAGACAATTTTGTTTATTTTCAATTTGTTTCATGTTTACGATTTCACCTCAGTTGCAGAAGTGGTTTGAACCAACTAGTGGAAGGTGGTAATTTACAACAATTCATTTTTTTTATGAATACTGTCTGAAGCAACTATATATTGACCTAATCTGATTTTGGTCCAAGATCTGAATGTCGACATTTTTATCCCCAATATATTATTATTTTTTAATTGAATTATTTATTAGCTAGCCTCTTAGGTCTTTTCCCTAGTTACGGTATTTCGGTATTTAGTTTTTAGTGGTTGAATCAATACTACATCTATTTCTAAAAAAAAAAAACCGAAGCTCCAGTGAGTATAATCAGATTAGAGGGACTTCTTGGGTGTGAGCGGCCGGAGGCTTCATAGATTCTAAATACAGCCTGCCAGCTTCCCCAACTAACCTCTACACACCCACTATAATTGAGCTCTCTTCATTTTTATTTTACAATTAAGATTCGAATGTGATTGGGCAAATATAATTTCAAATTGAAATGAAGGGTGAGTAAAGTGGAGTAAAATGCCTAATGTAACTTCGTTATTGGTTAAGCTCTTGTTTTATCCAGGATTATTCATTAAAAATCCAATGATCAAGAACAGCTAGGCACAATTTCTAACCTCATTATCCAAATGAAGAATATAGTTGAACAAGTAGGTTCAACAAGCAATTAACTTTTCATGTGTAGGCTTTTTTTATTGTTGTATTTCTGCACTTCTTTCTCCTCTGTGCACAAATATTCTTTAAATTATTTTATAAAACATACAGAAACAAACCATTTAAGAAGCGGCTGGGAGTGGTGTTGATGCTTCAAAGCAAACTTACAATGGATTTGACTTTATTTTAGTTTGAATAGTATTTGTTAAAAGGACATTAAACTGTTGTATCCATCTTACAAAATTACAACACAACACATATTCACATTGAGTTCGTTCACTTTTCTATGTGTTTTTATGTGTAAAAAACTACAGTAAACACTGTAATTGATAAGTAATCCCCAATAAGTAAGTCGAGCATAAATGTGTACAGTAGACTCCCTCTTATCCGGACTCCTCGGGACCGAGGCCATTCCAGATAACGGGTTTTCCGGTTAAACCGACGTCCCACGTTAAAACGGACTGTTTACTGTGATATTCGACTTAAATTTAAGAGAGCATTGTATTTAGACACATGATCACTGGTCTCAATTCGTTCCCACAAGAACAGTCGTTTCAGTACTGCCCACTGCCTGCCGATCTAGTCCGGTTAAACCAATGTGCTGATAAAAATTGTCCGGTTAAAGAGATGTCATTTCCGCTGAGTGTAGTCCGGTTAAACTGATGTCCAGTTAAAAGGTGCCCGTATAAGAGGGAGTCTACTGTACTTAGTTTCAAAGGTTGTTTCAGAAAGTCAACTCTGCAACTGTAAAACCTTGGATGTTCAAATTTCTCCTTCAACTAATGCAAACTAACTTGAATTTTGTAACTAAAAATACAGAGTACCCAATGTTATCACCACATGTACCTTGCATCTTTGATGACGATAGTTCTACGAGTCAGTCTAGGGTCAATAAACAACACGTTGGGGTAGTACCAGACTGTGAGAGATGTGTCTTGCATGCCAGACAGAATGTTGAGACGACTGTTCCAACACACCGATTGTACCATTACACCTGCAACATCAGTGTGACAGCAATCCATGAAACATTTCATGAAATGTAGCAATAAACCACTAATTTATTTTAACTGAATGTTTACTAAATTTTGCTGTTTATGTATAAGGGAGCGGTAGAAGAAAGAAGACCCAGGTGAAGACCAAGAACTAGATGGTGGGATCAGGTCCAGCAAGACATGAGATTTGGATTTTTGGGAATTCAACAAGAACATTCTGACAACAGAGACGGATGGCGCTGTGTTGCTGAAGCCAAGAACCGACTGAGGTGCAATTGGCCATGGCAATAAGTAAAACATTGGATTTACAAATACTTTTTTGTGTTTCAGTAATGAATTTTCTGTGAGCTTAATTTTCTTTGGTCTTATTTGGTTCTCTTGCCAGGCGTATTTTGTTAATAAACCAATGACTGAGCTTTGAACTATCAAAATGCTTCTAACTTAGTCTCAGGATCCAACAGGCCAGGGCCGGACTTACCTATGGGCGGAGGGGGCGATCGCCCGGGGCCCCCGGGCCAAGGGGGGCCCCGACAGGGGCCCCCTTGCACAGTAGTTTTTATTAATAACTTCGAAAATTGATCAGACACTTACCAAATGGCCTTCTTTTGTAACAGCTTTATTTTTATTTTCGTCATCCTATATTTAAGGTTATTGTTAGGTAAATTTTAAGACATTACTAGGGACGAAATTCTTGACCCTAAGGGACTTTTCCTCAGAGTTGCACTGGGCCCCACGCTTAGGCCTGGTTTACACGAGCATATGTGCTAGGCTGTGATGGACCAGTGTCAGTTTCAAATGAAGCCGCTCGCCCGAACGTACGGCCGCGGCGAATGAGTTGAAGGGGGCCCCGCGCTTGGGGCAAAAATACAATAAATATGAAAACTCTTGTCCCAACGTAGAACGTAACTTGTAAAATTGTGTTGTGTTAAATGGAGATTCACTGGAGTTAAAATAGGCTACTTTTAAAAATAATAACATTGCTCCGTTTATGTTTTATTAAATGTTATTCTCTTCTTTTACCTCTAAGTATATACCAATCAGGATTTGGGGTAGAAGTATATTATCCGTTAAATTAAAAGGTTTTGTAAAATAGTAATTAATTAAGTTATGCGTCGAAATGTTGATCTCCATTAATTTAGTCTTTGGAGTCAAAATCATACAGCGCCAGTAAGATTTTTTAAATCTATATAGACACTTTAAAACAACTAGAGTCGTCTGATGTTAACAAAAATTACATTTATTGGGAGTGGGCGAGTGTTGTCGACTGAAATCGTAAACAAGCGATAAGCAGAAGCAGCTGCAACAATCAATGATAATGAGCTGATAAGGGATCCTGTCTAGTCCTGTCTGTCTCACGCACGCACATACACACACATAAAATGCCTTATCGCCTATCCAAAACAATTAAATCACTTTACTCCCATAGTTTGTCCTTTGAGACTAGTGGTCACGTCAAGTTGGTTGAAATTGTCTTTGAGTTATTTTATTGTAATTCTGCAAACTAACAGTACAAAAACAAAGCTGAAGTGAGTAGGTAATGTTGTATTTAATGCTATGTTTGTGTTGTATTAATCGATATTGGATCCATTTAAACATCTTTCAGTTACTCAAATAAATAGTTAGCTTGCGAGTGTTTATTAGACATCGCAAGATTTTGCTTGTCAATAAAAAACTCAAACTTGAAAGTCCTCAATGGTACTTTTCATGCTAGGACTTTAACATATTATAAAAACGAGAATACCATAGGTACCAAAACCATTATGAAAATAAAATAATCACACCTATATTGTAGTAATATTGAAAAATCATTCAAATCGACGGCAATAATCGATAATTTAAATACGTAATAAACGAAAATATATCAATGCTTCTAATCCAAATATATTATGGTAACCTACCATGCTACCATACCAAATATGCCGTCACTGGTACTACAAAGCAATGGAAACATTTGGTCAGAGTTAGTTTAAATAGTGAATGCAAGAGATTAGGTTTCAAACATTTTTATTTTTTGTGTATAAAATTAAAAGATGCTGTATATAAAAATATGTTAAAATAGTAACGATTTTTGATATAGAACTTATTGCTTATTTGGCCTTAAATTGCTCTATTTGAAGCCTAAATTTAGAAATTTTTCCCGGACCCCCCTTTGGCTTTTTGGGGTATTCCATACCCCCCAATCCCCCAGAGGACCCCCCACACTAAAATCCTAGGGCCCCATTGGAAAATTTGCCCGGGGCCCCTGAAGTCCTAAGTCCGGCCCTGCAACAGGCAACCTGATTACAAGGTGAGGCTAATGACTTTTCAACAAGGATGTCCAGAACACTGAAGCCTATGTGGTGTAATAAAGTTAAATAGTAATGAGGTAAGTACCTTTAACATTTGCCATGCTTTTACCAGTGCTTCCTGGCGGAAAATTCTTGATAGTAAGTCAAAAGCACTTAAAGTATACCTACACCGCATGATGCATCAGTATTTCAAAAATAGGAAGATGCTGCTGGAGACAGGATAAGGCTCCCTGATGTTTTGTGACACAGAGCTCAATATTGTGGCCAACTCTATGGAACATGAAGTATGATGACGTGTTTATAATTGCATTGCTATAAATTGACTTTTAAAAACTATAACTCACCAAGCTTTTCTATTCGTCTCGTCACACTAAGTCCACGCTGCAGTGTTGTGGCAGCTGCCAAGTAAAGATCTCTATTTTTGTCTACAAGAGCCAACAGACGATCGGTCGCAGCACCTGCCTGGTTGAGTGCCACCTCAGCCACACCTGTGGAGTGGGACAGTGGAGGACCACCTTCACCTCCCACCTGAACTAGGTGTACCACTGTAACAAACATTATAATTCACTCTTCCTGGATAGTCCTCCACGGAGCTTCTGGCAACAACCATAACAAACTCAACAAAAAACTATTCTTCATTGATTTGATTTGTCATATGTGGGGTATAGTCCAGTTATCCTGATGTACACACTCAACATTGAGCCCAAAACATTGGTGAAGAATAGTGTTCTGTCGAGTTTATTTGGGTCAGCACCAGAAGACCATGATTCTATTGTAATTCACTCTTAGATTGTCCAGGTTATTTAAAAATACTCCCGCCGCAGCAAACCTGCAGACTAAGCGAATTTCCATTAACCTGATTGGATTTACACTAAAATGCCTCCATAAAAATAAAAATAGCACATTTATTTCCTATTTAAATAGAATTAGTTTAACGAGTACTTAGGTTTGCTGCAACAGGGAGGGTAAAAAAGATTTTTTTAATAAAATGATAATAGTTTAGTAAGAAATAAAAATATTTTCCAAAATCGATCAAAATATGTTCATAAACAAGCAAACTACAACAGTTGACTTATTCTCCATAAGAATAACATGGGAATTTTAAAATTACAATTTTTTTTAATTTTCTCCATAACAATTAGGCGCATAATAACGCTTCAATATACTAAATTATTTGTTTTTTTAAGCTCTACAAAATGGTTTCAAAAGAAATTGTGAAATTTTTGTGTTTTTAGGGTAAAAAATGGGAAAACCCTATTTTTACCCCATAAACCCCCGTTCCCATAGTCCGATCATGCTGGTTCGCGAACTCATTCAAGTTTATCCCGCCTTACACCTTCAAACCAAATTTTATCAAAATCGGACAAAAATTACTTGAGTTATCGTGCGGATGGACACATATATACAGGGTGTCCATAAAAAACGTTTCAGGACTTTGGGAAATGAATCCCCATACTAAAAGGAAGAAAAAAGTTTATGGGAAGGTATGTCCGAAAATGCATATTAACCCAGATATCCGCCATTTTGTTTTTTATACAAAAATATTTTTATCTGTGAAGTTTTTTATTCGACGATTATGAAATTTGGTATACATGTTAATATACACAAGACCTATAATAGAAAAAATAATAAAGTTCCCCAAATTGTAAATTTCAAAATGGCGGCCGTTTGAATTTTTCTAACTTAAATAACTCAAAAACGGCTAATTCTATGAAAAAATGTCAAGAATACTTTTTTTAGCATTTTTAATTTCCTATCAAACGATACCAAGATCAAAAAGATCGGACAAAAGATAACTGAAATATAACGTTTTTTGTGTTAAAATAAGGCAAAGTTAGTAGAGGAACCCTTAATTTTTGCCTTATTTTTACACAAAAAAACGTTATATTTCAGTTATCTTTTGTCCAATCTTTTTGATCTTGGTATCGTTTGATAGGAAATTAAAAATGCTAAAAAAAAGTATTCTTGACGTTTCTTCATAAAATTAGCCGTTTTTGAGTTATTTAAGTTAGAAAAATTCAAACGGCCGCCATTTTGAAATTTACAATCGGAACAACTTTATTATTTTTTCTATTATAGGTCTTGTGTATATTAACATGTATACCAAATTTCATAATCGTCGAATAAAAAACTTCACAGATAAAAATATTTTTGTATAAAAAACAAAATGGCGGATATCTGGGTTAATATGCATTTTCGGACATACCTTCCCATAAACTTTTTTCTTCCTTTTAGTATGGGGATTCATTTCCCAAAGTCCTGAAACGTTTTTTATGGACACCCTGTATATATATATATATATATATATATATATATATATATATATATCTATATATATATATATATCTATATATAGATATATAAAAATTTGAACGAATGGTGTTTTTGGCCTCTGGGGACATCAAAATGAAAAAGTAAATCGGTCCCGGGCTTAGGTCTTACCATGAGACCTATGGTAATAGCTACTTCCCTATAGGGAAATTCGGTAAAAAAAAATCCGATGAGTTTTAAGTACATAAATCGAATTACTGTTGTGAGAATATTTTAACTTTCTACATGAATTTACAAAATTGAAATTTTCATTTAAAACCAATGCGAACCCAAAAGCAGGCCCTACTTTGCATTTTCTGGAATAAGTCCTAAAGCGCCAAATTTTTAGAGGCACCAAATCGTCAAAACATTTTGTTTACAAACAATATTCTTTGTTAATTAATTTGCTAAAGCCATATGCAAAACCCCAAATTTCAATAAGTAATTAATTTTCAAATAGCGTTAGAACCCAAATTCAGCTAATTTCAATTTGAAAAATATTCTGAGAAGAGCCAACAGAATCCCCCTCAGTAAGGGGTGGGTGCAAGAGCTGTTTGCAGCCTGGGGCGCTATTCTTCCTAAACTCAGGCTTGCCCAGGAATGATAACAAATTAATCTTGTAGTGTTCTCACATTTCTCGTCCGCCTGGTCTCTAAGAGCGATGGTGTCGGGAGACAGAGACACATGACATCTGTTGAGATTACTTGTCTGAAGACCGGGCCACTTGGGAGACGCCAACAGTCTTCCCTCGTAGCTGTAAAGGCTCATGGACGTCTTCTCTACGAGTAGGAAATGTCTGAAAAATAATTATTTATTTTTCAAATGCATCAAACATACAAAAGTTTCCGCTTTAAAGTAGAGAAAAAAGCTTAAGCAGTCACTTACCTATCAGCTAGAAGAACCATAGTGACTGCCCCTTCCCGAAGATCTATAATGATTGGCGTGTTGAAATTTGTGACTTTGTAAATGTAGCACTGTGTTGATGTTACCACCACCTAAAAATAAAGTTTGTATAAACTATCTTTATTTTCCCTCATGACAGCAAAATATATTTAGCAATGACAGCAACCATTCTCTAAACTCTCTGACTACAGTTAAAAACGCCCCCATGGGTTGAAATTTTGCGTGATTTATGTGTGTTTCATGGCCTACCGGTTTCATTCTACTTCCAAGCGTATATATGGGTAGGTTTTACTACATTTCTTAAAAAATGTCAAACAACAATATATATTAGTTTAAATAAAAAAATATTTGAAATATGAAAAAGGGACTATAGGTTATACATTTTTTATTTGACACTATCAAATTAATATTTAGATATGTTTTTGTTTTTGGTATGCTATTCTTTAAAAGTCTTGGAAAAAAACCTTTAGCCCACAAAACAATCTAATCAAATTGCACTACAAGATGTTACGATGTATGTACCAAATGTCTATAGCCCAGTGACAGTTGGATGACTCTCTCTGGAAACTCTAGTTTATCTTTGGCCTCGGTGGAGACGTCTCGCACAGTGACACTCTTGCGACTGCCCTGTACAGCCTCTAGATGTTGCCACTCCAGCCGTCTGTAAAAAAATAACAATTCGAGAACTGTCTTGGTATATATCTAGAATAGTAATAAACTATACAATAAAAGACTAACAGTAATTAGAGACTGAGCAGTCTCCAATTCAGCTTGACGATAACCGATGTGACAAGTTGAAAATTATCACCATAATAATGTCTTATGTGAGTTTGTTGACTTTTGAGTGTTTTTAGATAAATGTACATATGTCGAGGGGTGTTGTTGCTAGATCGATCCTGAAAAAGTCAGGGACTTTTTGAAGGTTCGAAACTGGGCCCAGTCCGATCATTGGAATTTAAATACTGTAAATGATCCTGACTAATGAAACAGCTGATCTTAGTCAGTAACAAAGCTACTCAGATCATCTCACTCTATTCTACCTACACTCAACCTTCACTCATATTTAGATTGTAATACACACATAGGTGGCGTCCCCATTTAAATTGATAGGGTAATGATTATGGTAAAAGTATTGGCGGATATATTTGTATAATAGCACCAACTTGTTCAATGCTGATCAAGAAACAATTTTTTACAATACTACTCTTCTAAGGTAAGCAATATTTTACCTGTCGATGACATGAGCCACCATCAGCTGGTGGTTGGCGCAGGCTGCTGCTAGCTGTGTGCCGTCACTGGACCACGCCAGCGCGTAGATACTGCCTGTAGCAGGCTTCTCCAGCGACTGCGACCACTGAACATGCAGATAATCAATCAATCTTACACACCGACAATACACATGCAATATAATTAATTTAACTGAATGAGAAATACAATTTATAAACACATACGATCATAATCAAATTTTGTATCCCATACTCATGCTCATGGGAAATACCATTTGTTTCTTAATTAAGTGTTTGTAGCCAAAGCTAAAAATTAAACCAAATTAGGAAATTATAGCATGTTATGAGTCAAAGTTAACCTATGAATTCAGTTGTACTTTTTAGTTGATACAGCTCCGATGATAACCCGCTAAGAAAAAGAAACCTAGCCAACTGAATCATATATTAAATTGAATCATTATAATTTTGATAATCAAGCAACTGCAATCTTCTTAAGCATCTTCCATTCTTGTTGCTTTAGAGGTATAGATTTTTTTCTTGCACTTACTGTATATATTTTTATTTCAGTCAAATTTAATGGTGTGTTTTATAATTGCAGAATATATACATAAAAATGTTGGTACTCCAGAACATAATTAATCCAGAACATAATGTGCCCCAGAACATATGTACACCAGAACATATGTACCCTATAACATATGTACCTTAGAACATATGTACCCTAGAACATATGTACCCCAGATTATACGTTCTTCAGAAACCATATGAATCCCAGAACATATATACCACAGAAAATATGTACTCCAGGACACATGTACCCCAGATCATACGTACCCCTGCTTTATCACAAAGTCTGAGAGTGTTGAACCCTGCAGCAGCAAACATATCCCCAGCTGGAGCCCAGGACAAAGATGTGATAGGGAACTCATGAAGTAGGCTGCAGTACATCTGTCTGCCGTACATGTCCCACACCTACATAAAAAAGTGTTGTAACATTGTCCACTACAACTGTAGTAGCTTAGAAACTTGTGTTTGCAACTAGTTTAAGATGTATTAAACATACATAATAACTTAACATAGTATGGTAGACTCTTGCTCGTTTTGTATACCCACTTCCTGGGGACCTAAATTTCAACTTAAAGTTGTCTGAACCTTCAGAAGTTATGATAGAAAAATGAATGGTTGCAATAAAAGTTAATTGCCATCAAAATTATGGTGTTTGATTGGGCTTGGTGATTGGTTGGAATTGATCAAGCTATTATTATAACACCTTTTTTACCACTAGATATTTGCCATCCTGTAAAGTAATGTTAATTCCTCGTTATATATGGATTTTTGACAAGCTAATGAGAGAAAGTGTGACTATAATTTAAGGTACCTACATACCTTCACGTCCACAGTTAATAAATGAATGGTCAAACCCACTACATGTTTCGCCTATACTGTACATATTTCCGCTTTCACCTGACGACTACAACAAAGAACTGAACCTAATTAAACATATTGCTACCTCCAATGGATACAAACCAAGCATCATAGATAAAATAGTAACGAAATTAAAGAACAAACCAAATGAACCCGTATCAGATGAACCCGAGAAGAAATACATTTGTATAGAATACAGCCACATAGCTCACAATGGGCTCAACAAAGTTTTAAAGAATCGTGGGCTTCAATTAAACTTCAGGACCACAAATAAGACTATAAAATCTCTGTCAAATAAAGTTACCGATGAAAATAAGCTTGAAAAATCTGGGGTCTACAAACTAAAATGCATGGATTATCCTGATTTTTATATTGGTCAAACTGGCAGGACCTTCACCCAACGGCACAAAGAACATCGCCCCGACCCCAGAGCAGACAAACAAAAATCCACTTTTAGCCCAGTCAATGAATGCAATAAAACCCCCTTTTTCGCAACTAAATGGTGGAAAGCTGGATTTTTTATATTTGATAGAACCACATGAGAGGTGTATTTTCCCAAAAGTCCCCACTTCTAGCCCTTGAGCTTTCCCCCCCACCACCCTCCAAACACAGAAATTGCAGTGTTTTACTTAATTGATCATAATTCGAATGCTATGTAAGATATCGAGCTGCAATTTGTGTTGTTTTATTTATGATTAGTTTTCCTACAACTTTTGTATTTATAACATTTTTCTAAAACCAATACTTAGGGAGATATAAAATTTAAACTTCGTCAAAAGCTCTGTTTCAGAGTGCAAAATTTTGTTTTTCTCTATGTATACTTTTAAATAGAAATAAAACGCAAATTTGGTTCAGACAAAAGTTTTAGTACGTTTTTCAAGGTTTACAATTATATTATTGGTTAGTCATCTAGGCGACCGGGTGAAGAGCTGGGCGTCGGCAAAGAGAGCGCGTGCGGGCTAGCTGAACACCTTTGCGCTGCGTCATCGCATCTAGCCCAGCCAATAAACGCACAAACTGCCTTTTTTCGTAGCTATAAATAGTGGAAAGCTGAGTTTTTTATATGTGATGGAACTACTTAAGACGTGTATTTTAAAAAAGTTCCCGATTCTCCCCCCCCCCCTCAACCCCCCAACCACCAACCTCCTCCAAACCTGGAAACTACATTCGTTCACTTTACTGGATATAATTCAAATTCTACGCATGCCATCGGTGTAATTTGATTTGTATTATTTATAATTAGTTTATCTACAGCCTTTTTACTAAAGACTTTCTTATAAAACTATATCCAAAGAGATATAACATTTTTACTCTTTTTGATAATGTTTACGCGTATGTTTTAGAGTACACAATTTTGTTTTACCCTCTATATATTTTTTCCAAATAAAATACGCAAAATGTGTCTGAAACAAAATGGTAGTATGTTTCTTAAGGTTTATAAATATATATCTGGTTGGTCATCTGACAAAACTGATGTAGTGTGGAGCATCCGCAAAGACAGCGCGTGCAGGCTTCTTCAAAGCATCCGCGCAGCGCCGCCCGTCGATGCATAATAAGGACCGGCACTGCTAAGTTCTGTTTCATACAAATCCTAAGACTTCCTAATTTTTAGCCTACTTTACTACCAAAACAATCTGTATCCAAGCTTAACCGTGAACAGCAAAACAATTATTATTTAGAAGGAACCCAATAATTTACATTTTTATAACCAGTTTTGGTTCAGGTAAATTCATCTCTACCTACTTACTTGTTATAATTGCAATACTTGTAATACTTGATTTCTTCATCTTTGACCAACGGAAGTTTGATAGGTTGAGGTATAGAACACTAGGCCTAATAAACACTTTAAAAATCACTGTAAACATACTCTTTGCTCTTCCTTACGTTACAATGTGCTTTTCATTACCTACCACCAATGGGACTCGCTTTGTTCCACAAGATTTATTTATACTAACTGCGCCTCGAGGTCAGTAAAGATCTGTAAACTACATAAAAATACTAATTAGATAAATCCTAATCATTTGTACATTTCTTAAATTTGTTGTTAGTTTTAACTAAGTTTCTCATTTGAAATCATAATTAGGTTAATTATTTCTGTCAACGGCTACACCTATTGACAATAATATACATGGATACATATATTACATTACATAAAGCTGGGTAAGAAACATACTGAACCCAATGATGAGATGACCCAATTCGCCTATGGGTGCGAGGATGATTGGAGTGTCGGATCAAAATCTACCACCACTTACCATCTTTTATGTATATTTAGAGTATTATGAGTAACATTATAAGTGTAAATTTATGTTTTAAGTGTTATGCTATTAGACGTAGTTTCTTTTATTTACTTTCCAATTAATTAATGTAATAAGGCATATATCCAAAAGTTATAAATAAGTAAGTGAAAAACTATATTTGTGGCCCCATACATGCAGGCTAGACTATTTACGAGATACGTACAGGCAGATTATTCGAATTTCCTTTCTTAACATATTGTGTAGATGTGTCAATCAAATTGGGCTTTTTTTCGTAAAAATTGACAACAATGTATTACGAATCTGCTTTACGGCACTAATACGTGGTCGAGATCAATCATTTTTAGAGACTCTATACTGTGAGTCTTGGTGAAGTTCTGTTCTCTAATGTTCGATTGTTTCATGTTATCTTAAAAATGATTCAGCATAATAGTTCTTTCTTGATTTGTGGTAGACATTATGCAAACGTTTAACATCGCTAATAAAGATGAAGGCGCTTATTAAGTGTTTTAAAATCTCCTCTTTATAGGCCTAATAAAAAAGTTAGTTTTATTTAACATTGACCGGTTTTAATTTGTATTCCTTACCATGATTAAAAATGGCTTATAAATATTACCGACGGTTTTATACGTCGTTTCTGATATTATTTTAACACAGGCTTACAACTCATGGCAGAGCAGAAAGCTAACCCTTGCTAGCGGGAAGCGTGAAGATAGAGACATATCAATGATAGGAAGCAGTTTGTATCAAAAATTAGTGGGTCAACGAAAACTTTTAACTGACCGCGAGCCGCGAGATGCTTCATTTAGTCACGGTTTAGCTTGGAAACAGATTGTTTTGGTAGTAAAGTAGGCTACAAATTAGGAAGTCTTAGGATTTGTATGAAACAGAACTTAGCAGTGCCGGTTTTTATTATGCATCGACGGGCGGCGCTGCGCGGATGCTTTGAAGAAGCCTGCACGCGCTGTCTTTGCGGATGCTCCACACTACATCAGTTTTTTCAGATGACTAACCAGATATATATTTATAAACCTTAAGAAACATACTACCATTTTGTTTCAGACAAATTTTGCGTATTTTATTTGGAAAAAATATATAAAGGGTAAAACAAAATTGTGTACTAAGCGTAAACATTATCAAAAAAAGTAAAAATGTTATATCTCTTTGGATATAGTTTTTTAAGAAAACTTTTGGTAAAAGATTTGTAGATAAACTAATTATCTATCTATACTATTATATAAAAATCTAATGGTGTCTGTATGTGTATTACTAATAGGTGCAAAAACTACTGAACCAACTGGGCTTAAATTATACAAAAATATAGCTACCATACCAAGGACCATTATAGGATTATTCACATTTCGATTCTGACCGTAGGCTTTGCCCCTTTGGCTTTACAAATTCTGAGGTGAACATTTTTAAAGTAAATATTGATTGGTCTCCATGGCTGTGATGAGAACACTAACAATGTTTGTTTACATTTGCTTTGACATTTAAATGTAAAGAAGAAGAACTGCTAAACTGCATATTTCACAATTTTAGACAGCTGATACAAAGAAATTAAATATAATATTTTCCATAACTATGAGGTAGGTTTATTTTAATCTAACTTTTTATCATGGATTATCTATACTATTATATAAAAATCTAATGGTGTCTGTATGTGTATTACTAATAGGTGCAAAAACTACTGAACCAACTGGGCTTAAATTATACAAAAATATAGCTACCATATAGTGATGTGCGATACGTATCGTATCGTATCGGAATATCGCGATACGCGAGGGACGATACGATATTTCGATACGATATTTGAAAAACGATACGTATCGTATCGCCTAAAACGATATTTGTATTTATATCGGCACATAGAGCGATACGATTCATGTCAAAACGATATTTTTAAGCTTTTTTGCGCAGGCCGAGCAAACTGCAAAATCTGTAATCTGTGGATGTGTAGTTTGAAATAGGAGTTTTTGACGTCTGTATTTTTCACTGAGCTATAATTCTAACTGGAGGTAGCACTGAATGTCAAAGATGCGTGTCGCCAGCCGCCATGTTTGCGTGAGGTTATAAGAAGCCATGTTATTGGATAAGAAAACTCACTGCTATACTAACCTAGTTGTAGAAGCCATGTTATTGGATAAGAAACCTCACTGCTATACCAACCTAACAAAATCAGTGACACGCTTTTGACAGACTTCTGCCATGGCAGTGCTACCTCCAGTTATAATTTTAGCTCAGTAGTATTTTTGGTTTTTACTTGATATTGATAATGTACCAGTCCCATCCCAGTCCAGTCCATTTCCACTAGCGTGCTGCTGCTGCTATCTAGCACTAGCATTGCAGAGTGTGGGAACTGTCTGTGGCAATTACATTAATGTATCTGCAATCCTAAAATGCTATGGGAAGGATAGGGAAACAGGTCCAAGACGTAGGGAGTTGTGAAGGAAGTAGTAAAGGCGAGCAGTGTGGAGTGTGGAAATGGATTAATGAATCTGGAATACTGTGACTGTTTTCAGAGTAAACAAATGATTTTCCCCGAGCAAAGCTTGGTCCCCAGGTACTTATATAAATTTGCCGTTTCTAGGTTAGGTAGGGGAGGGGGAAAACGATACGATACGTATCGTTTTTCGATATTTTTGACGATACGATTCGCGTATCGCGATACAGACGCCCGATTCAATATGGCGATACGATATTTTTTTCCGATACGTATCGTATCGCTGTATCGCGATACGCGTCCGTATCGCCCATCACTACTACCATACCAAGGACCATTATAGGATTATTCACATTTCGATTCTGACCGTAGGCTTTGCCCCTTTGGCTTTACAAATTCTGAGGTGAACATTTTTAAAGTAAATATTGATTGGTCTCCATGGCTGTGATGAGAACACTAACAATGTTTGTTTACATTTGCTTTGACATTTAAATGTAAACAAGAAGAACTGCTAAACTGCATATTTCACAATTTTAGACAGCTGATACAAAGAAATTAAATATAATATTTTCCATAACTATGAGGTAGGTTTATTTTAATCTAACTTTTTATCGTGGATTATTTATTCTAAAACTATGTCAATGATTATAGAAAAAGAGATTCTATAACCGTTGCTGTATCAACTCAAGGCCCCACTCAAAGCGTCTAAGTTATGAAAATAATGTTATTGATATGTTTTCATGGAAACATTATGAAAATTACAATGTATAGATGGTTTGTATGAATTTGGAGGCTACTTTAAATAAATTGAAACTGCTTAACATGTGTTAGATTAACTTAACATAACTTGCACATCACATTGTTTTTTATATGTATATTTAGGTAAATTAAGTTATTGTGTTTTGCTAAACCTATGCTTAAACTAATCTAAAGAATATCATCAATAACTAAATTGTACGTTGATTTTTGTTTTCTAAAATCTGTTGTATATATGTAACTATATTTAATTATCAAATGCTAATACAAAATACTCTTATTTTATCTTATCACAGCTTTCAGTTCACATTTACTTTATTTGATACATTTTTTATTTGTGTTTTGCCAAACCACTGACTAAATAAAACCAAGGAAAATATCATAAAACTAATCAGTACACAGTGTTCTTTTGTTTCTAAAATCAATGAAATATCTGATACTATGTTTACTTAATGGTAATTGTGAAAATGTAAAGGCAATGGACGATGGAACTGATTAAAAGAACGAGTTTGTATATTAAGTTGTTTGTTGATATTTTTGTAGAGTAGAATCAGGAGATGCAATGAAACATATACTGTATTTGCTATTACATTTTTTAGTCCTTGATGCTTTGATAATCATATTAGTTTTGTCTGCTGTCTTTAATGCTAAATTATTTGTTTAAATTTTTGTATATTACCTATAGATATAGTCACTTTAATATTTCAAAAAAAAAACAGTATTGATAAGGCACAGCAATATTTCTAAAGTTTATAACAGCTGACTTAGTTTTGCTAATGATTTATTGTGAGTGAAGAAACTGAAGATGGAAGGATTTATGATTTGGAGTGAAATAAAAAAAAAATGTTCATTTAAATTTAATAATTAGTATTTTTGCAACTTCAAAATTGAAATTTATAATGGCAATAATAATTCAAAAGATATGTGAAGGTAGATGAAGGTAAATCGTGTAGGCCTATGTCAATGTTTTATTCGAAGATTTGGTAATTTTTTTCTCATATCAGCCTACACAAGATTTAAAATTAATCAAAACCAAAATAGTGGTATCCCCTACTTACCAGATTTAAAAGTCATATAACTTAAACGTTTCTATTAAGGCTATAAAAGTTGAATTTTGTTTCTAAAAGCGTTGGCGGATGTGTAACTATTATATGCAACAGATGTAAAGATTAAAATGTTTCTATTTTGTGTCCTCTTCCCGTTGCAAAGCACGGGTACAACAGCTAGTACTATTATAAAAAAGAGGTGGTTGCTGTATGTGTGTATGTGTGTATGGGAAAAGTAAACTCGAAAAATACTGGTCGGATTGGGCTGAAATTTGGCATGATGATAGCTCACATTCCCGATTAACATATAGGCATATTCTTATTTCAAAAATCCTTTCGGGCTCCGCCCCAGTGGCTCTGTAGTTTCCCATGTTAACCTTATGAGAAATGGAATTATTGAATCTTAACAGCTGTTTCAATTAAACAAGTTGGTTCTGTTCTATGATGTTCAATAGCATTAAAGTTACAAGGATTACCAACAGGGTGCAGCACTATTATTTCTTTTACATTTATGACAACAGCTAATTTGCAACCAAAAGGTGAGTGAGCGTAGCGAACGAACTTCAACCTGGAGGCGAGTTAGCGTAGCGAACGAGCTAACCTGAAGGCAAGTGAGCGCAGCGAACGAGCTCCAACCTAAAGGTGAGTGAGCGTAGCGAACGAGCTCCAACCTAAAGGTGAGTGAGCGTAGCGAACGAGCTCCAACCTAAAGGTGAGTGAGCGTAGCGAACAAACTTCAACCAGGACGTGAATGAGCCATGCGAACAAAAAACATTTATTGACTGGGCTATTTTGCCCAACATTTATTGGATAATAATCACACCGTAGATGTAATTGACAATAGCCTGGAAATCCTTCACATTTGTAACAAACGTAACAAATTAGACTCTCTAGAACAATTCAAAATCTATAAAAGTTTCCAAGACATCCGTAATAAAAACCATATTTTAAATGACCAGCTAAACTTCAAATCTCATTCAATTTTTAACGCCATAATAGCTCACAACAATAGACAGGAACAGTTTGACCTTTGCAGTATGACTGATAACGGAGAAGGGGTCGGGGTTACGTAATTCCAGCCAGTCTGCCTCCGTACCGCGACCGGTAAATAGTAGGCCTACTAAGTGTTAAATGTTTCGTACAATGTATCGTGTTTTGTGTATTTATTAAAATGTTTTTTGACGAGTCTACAATGGACGAAACGTTCTTGAAGGACCACTTGACAATGCCTATGTATAGGCGAAACATGTAGTGGGTTTGACCATTTATTTATGAACTGTGGACGTGAAGGTATGTACCTTAAATTATAGTCTAATCAACAGTTCAGGGGCTACACAATGAATTTTAAGAAAGTGTGAAGTGTGAGAATGTGTCAGACAGCTGATTCTGTTTACTTTACCTTATATCTGCAATCTTCTCCACCTGAGATAATGTATCCACTGTTTGGACTCCAGTCCACTTTTAAAATCAGCCCTTCGTGTGCTTTCCACTACAACAAACGTCATTTATGGAAGATGTAATCAATTTCAATCAAGACTAACATCACAAGAAAGCAAAAATGTATTTTTGTTAATTTAAGTAAAATTGATCATGAGTACAATTTTTTCTTTTGATATTTGATACGCATATTAGTGTTGCCTTATAATACTATTATTCTACTAATAAATTATCTAGGCCTACCTACTTATTATTAGACTTATTAGTAGATAACCCAGAAAGACTTTGAAAGAAAGACTTTGACAGAAAAAACTGTGTATGACCTGGCACAGTGGCGGATCCAGCCAGGGGGCGCGGGGGGCGCGCGCCCCCCCCTTGGGCAAAGATTTGCTTTTTTCCCACATAGCTTAACCACGATGTCCATTTTGCCGTGTATAGTAACTCACAAAAATAATCGAGTTTGACAAACAACTTGATTATTTTCGTTAGTTGGAACAGTGATGATCAAACTAAGGCAAGTTCCACGTCCACGTCCTTGTTTAAGCTCTTTTAACTGACCTAGCCTTAGCCTAGCCCTGCAAAGGGTATTCAACTAACTGAAAACTGAACTGAATTCAGTGGTTTTAGTTTTGAGTGAGCAAGCAGTGTCATTTTGAAGCGTAAAAGTCATTTCACCAAATTCTGAAATCACTACAGTACTGACCGAAACATCACCAGTCGCATTGGACTGAATTGAAACTGGATTGAATTCGGCGTGACTGGGAATAGAGACTCTGAGCTTTATTCCAACTAGCTGTTACCCACGACGGGCTGCTCCACCCCGTTTTACTACATTAGTATTAATAAAACTATTGATTTGTTTCAGTTAAGATAAAATAAACAAAACAGAATACAGTAATGGTAATACGAACAAATAATAACAGCTGAGGCCTTTCTAACATTAGGTAAATGGAAAGTTCCCTTTGGAAAGCAATTACGACCTTATAGGGCAATTTTTGAAATAATGGATAATATTGCGCAAGGTTCCTCGTCATGACGAACATTTTAAGTATATGGTTTATGGGGGTGTGACTTGTAGTTTTCTCAAAAGTTCATGGGTACTTTTGGCTTTATAGATGTCTATCACACATACACGATTGTTGTTGACATTGATTGCTCGATTAGAGGTCAAACTTCAACTTCCGGTTAATCTTAAGGCCCGATTTCACCAAACACTTAAACCGCCGTTAAACCATGCTCTAACTGCAGTTAACTCTTAACTGACGAAATCGGATTTCACCACCCGCCGTTGGCGCTAGTTTAGACTAAACCGTCGTTAGATAATTAACTGCCCAATTTTGCCCGGTTAAATTCTTTAATCCTTCGTTAAGTAAATATTAGCTGGCTTTAAGTTTAAAGTTTATATTATAGAAAATAATTATTTTGGTGTTATCTTTATTGTGTCTCGGTTCTTGTAATTCTTTTTGTTACATATATATAATGTTACCACAGTTTTGATTTCAGTTTTTTTTCACTACTTCAAATGTACCAAACTGGTTAATGAACAAACAGAATATTGAACATCCCTGTAAAAAGTTGGATTTTGAGTCTTGACTCGACCGCAAAACTCAACCAATTTGTTCCTCGAAATCTCGAATATGTTTTATCACCTCGCTTTGCCTTTATTTACTTATGTTAATTGTTTTGGTATTTATTCTTGCTTTCTGTTGTTATATTGATCAGAATCTATTGTATTCCTGTAAGCTTGCTGCTTGCTGTCTTCAGTTTTGTTTTCACTACCTCATAAACACTGATTTCTAGGTTATGTTTACTTGCTCCCGATACAGCCCGGTATTATGACAGTTCACTGCCACCGCCACCTGGATTTTACTCTAAACTTTCGTTTATAAAACCAGCGTTAGTTTTGACGTGTTTTCGTTGGTGAAACCAGATTTCCTTACCTGTGGTTTAAATAATTGGTTCCGAAGTTGAACTTAACTGCATTTTTGCAGGCCTAGGCTACTTCTTTGTTCTTAAACCACTGTACGGTCGTTATCTTTGATTTGTATACGGAAAAAGTCCATTCATAAATTCCTTAAATTCTTAAGTGCGCCCCCCCCTCAACAAATTCCTGGATCCGCCCCTGACCTGGCACAGTTGTATCTTATGACTTAGTCAATGACACCTCTTTTTGCCATAAGACTGGCTAATGGATCAACCATTCTACTCACTAAAGGAATTCTTCCATCAAAATTTGTTAAGCAAGGTGAAAATTCAAATTACAATCTATGTATATGTCACTATAACTACTGTATTTCTTAAAGAAATCTCAATAAAGAAAATTGAATGATTAAATTGACCTGGGATCTCTAGAAATTAGCCTAATACAGCCTTCTGAGGTCTGAGATGCCCGAGGAAACAGTTTATGTTAGCTACACAAATGATAATGCGGCTTTGAATTTTTAGCTGGCCTAGATAAACCAAATTATACACCAATCAAGCGGATGAACCAACCAGCTAAGCCAATTCGGACCTAGAACTAATGGTACCGCACCAACTTACCACCACCACACCACTTACTTACTTACTTATTGTACCACCGCACCGGCTTGATACCATCGTACTGTTAACTGTTTGTACTTCCAAGTAACTCGGTGTAATGGTGGATGGTAATGTTGTGTATTCACATGGGTTAATTTATTAGTTTACAGTTTGATTCCGTTTATATTTGGAGCAGGGAGCTCAGCCAAAAGTAGTTTTTAACTTTGAGATTTTGCAACATTATATCCAGTACCAAATGTGGTTTGAGGTAATTCTGGAAACCAGCATTTGCGTCACAACCCCCACCACCTTGAGGTTAGATATGGTCGGTCCTTGTGAACCACCAACTTACAGTCAGAGTCAGCCTAGGCGCGGCCACTAGCTGGTCATGATTCTCCCGCTGATATTAGCAGGTATGTGGTGATAGGCTAATAGGAGATTTACATTGCCCGACCCTTGGTTCAGTAGTAGGTAGCCCTCTCTCTAAATTCTACCCTTTTAATAATGGGGATTCTCTGTGATATTAGCGTAGTCATGTATTAGTAAGATATTATAACTTGTATTTTATTGCTTATCCGCTTAATAAATGAACCCAATTAACATCACGCCCGAGTATTTATTCTGGACACCCCACCCACTAGCGGATACAACATTTGGTGTCAGAAGTGTCCTTTTTTTGAAAGGGGGATTGTTCTTTTTTTTAAGTGGGTTTAATTCTTTTGGGGGAATGTCCTTTTTCAAGGGGTATGTTATTATAGTTTAAGGATTCAAGTTCATATGGAGGGATGGATTTTTATTTTTCTTGTGGGGATTAAATAAAGGGGGTTGTTAAGTAGAAAATTGGAGTTTGTGGTTGTATGTAAATTATAAGGCAAAAATGACGGGGATTCAAGATAGGGAATTTGATCTCTTTCGTACCCAGTTTTACTACGATTGCCTAGGTCACCTATTTACTGAAAATAAAATAGCTGAATTAGTATCTGTCTATGTGTCTGATTCAAAGACATATATTTTGTGCGAGAGATTGACGCATAATTTTTTTAGGAAATTTCGATTGATGTCTGTAGAGGTGATAGATGAGGTAAGGGATATTGGAGCCGTGTTACCGGGAATTATAAGGGTTTGTAGTGGCACTCCGGGTGTGGGTATCCGTGCGGTACAGGTACGCACTAATTATGCTAGCATTCTATTGTGGGAACGTTAGTGATGGGTTATGTATATGTCAGTATGTATGTCGACGATAGGGGATTTTTAAAATTGCCTTGGTGATGATCTTGGCGGTACTTTGGTACTATTGGTGTTATATTGGTAGTGTTGGGCCGGAATCTAAAATAGTGGGCTTAACGCTGGGCAATAAATTTACTAAAATTAGCGTGCCCTCGGTGTTGGAACATCAGAGGCCGTTTGGCACAGCTTCAGGGAATAGTTAAACATAGTGGGAGAGAGTAAATTTTTATAAGAAGTTAATTTTGTTTTGAAATTAAAGGAAAAATAAAATATATATTATGGATACTTTTTTTAAGTAAATAAAATGGTTGTTTTAAGTAATTTGTAAAATTGCGTTGTTGATTGGAAAATGTTTTTAGTAATTGAGTAAATTAAACAAATTGACTTGACAAATGTTATTTTAAAGTAATTAAGTAATATTATCATTAAAAACATTTTATTGTTGTATTGAATTAAATTGAAAATGAGAGTTCGGTCCTGGTTAGAGGGATTTTTCTTGTTAGAGGCATAATGATTTTGTGTGGGTTGATCGGAATGTTTTGGTGTATAGTGATATTAAACTGATGTCTTATTTGGTGCGTGGGTATTTAATGTGGTTAAGTGATAGTAATTGTTAATTGAAATGTAAAAGTGGGACCCACGTCGATAGTTTGTTTTTTTTGTTGTACTGGAGATGGGATATTTATTGGTAGAAATTTTTGGAACGTCCTTAATAGTAGCCAATATGCCGGAATTAATCGCAGGGCAATTTGGTCAGGTCATGCGACCATGGCGGCATTGGGAGGCAGCTCGCGAAGCCGAGGTGTCCCTTAGAGAGGGCGTGGCGTAAGCGCGCGGGGCATGCAACACTATGTCCCATTTAATAACGGAAAACCCTGGGTACGACGAATATAGATTGTTTGGTTACAAGGATAATTTGTTGTAGGTGCGGTAACTTAGGACACCTGCAGAGGGACTGTAGGGTAGTAGTTCGGAATTGGTAATTAAACTTCGCGCATCCAGCAGGGAAATAAAACAGGCTGTTGGACTGAGCGTATTCAGCAAGGAAGTGGCACCAGAAGTAATCCCAAGTGTAAGAATATATTATAGGGATGATTTAATTATATGTGTAATAGTGAATGGTAGAGCGGTAAATTTCGTGTGGGTTTTGAGGTAAAAAAAAAAAAAGGGAAAATGAAATATCTCGCTGATTCATAAAGGGGTCTTCCAAGGGAAATTGGTTAAGACAGATATGAGAGCAGCGGGAATAACAGGAGAACGATTAAAAATATTCGGGGAGGCGAATATGGAGGTAATCGTGCAACG